GGGGTTTAGCTTAGTGGTAGAACTGGGTTGTCTTCAGTAGCAGAAAAAAATATCTGATAGCTATTACTAAACTGTTTTCCCAGCTGGGGATTTAGCTCAGTGGTGCCTCGCCTGCCTCATAGATGAAGTCCTGAGTTCAGTCCACAGTACCGAAAATAATTAAATTGCTTTCTCTAAAAAATATTATCTTCTAATGATTTTCTTTTAATGTCATCATTACTTTTATTTATTTATTTTTTTAGAGTGTCTCACTACGTAGTTGAGACTGACCTGGAACTCAGTATGTAGCCCAGGTTGATCTCAAACTCACAGCAATCCTCCTGCCTCAGCCTCCAGAGTGCTGGGATTACAGGTTTGCGCCTCGTCATGCTTCTTTTTTTTTTTCTTTTTTTTTTTTTTTTTTTTTTTTTTTTTTAAATTTTTAAAGACAGAGTCTCACTGTGTAATTCAGGCTGACCTTGAATTTATTATGTTGTCCTGGGTGGCCTCAAACTTGCAGCAATCCTCCTGCCTCAGCTTTCCGAGCGCTGGGATTATAGGTGTGCACCACCACACTTGGCTTATCAACATGATATTTCAATTAAAACTTTCTTTTCTTTTTGAAACAGGGTCTCAGTATGCAGTCCAGTCTGATCTTTAACTCCTGGTGATCTTCCTGCCTCAGACTCTCCAAGTGCTGGGACTATAGGTATGCACCACTACGCCCAGTTTAAAACTGTATTTTATTTTATTTATTTATTTTTTGGTTTTTTGAGACAGGGTCTCACTATGTAGTTGAGAATGACCTGGAACTCACTAAATAGCCCAGGCTGGTCTTGAACTCACAGGGATCCTCCTCCCTCAGCCTCCCAAGTGCTGGGATTACAGGCGTGCGCCACCACACCCGGCTTTAAAACTGTATTTTAAAATCCACTAAAACTGTATTTTAAAATCCATTATACTCTTCATGTAAAATCTATTGTAAGCCAGGCGTGATGGCACACACCTGTAATTCCAGCACTCGGGAGGCTGAGGCAGGAGGATCACTGAGTTCGAGGCCAGCCTGAGCTACAGAATTCAAGACCAGCCTAAACTACACAGTGAGACCCTGTTTCAAAAATCCAAAA